ATGCTAAAGTTGCAAAAAACGCACTTGAAAAAGTTGGGGTAATTTCACCACTCCACAGTTTGACCCATTTTTGTATGAAATTTTGAAATTATTATTATCGCACATTATTAGACCTAATAAGATTAGCAGACATCTGAAATTTCATAATTCTACTATCAACAGTTTCGAAGATATAAAATGAAGACTTTCTTCGGGGTACCACCTGTAGGGGGCTCTAGCTCGCTTATAAAACTTTATTCGACCTATGCTTATAGACACTTCTTCTCTCATTTTTGATCGTTAAATCTGTTGTTGAAGTAATGCACGCTAATTATGGGACACACTGTATAGTTCTTGCAAGAGTTTCTGAGATTCTGAGACATCTGGGATAGTTCGCATTATTCCGATAAAATCCTAAAAAAACTTAGTAATGTGCTTTGTTGATTGCTTCATATGATATTAATTTTAATTATCTACCCCGGAAGGTATCCACCCAAAAAGAATAAATCGAATGTGGTAATGGAATTCTGTCGCACATTTTCAAAGAGAAATCTACCAGAGTAACCACTAGAACGGAATAGATATTTTGTGAATTATTCCTATAACGTTTTCTGGATAGATTCGATTTTGCCGCTTCAATACAACGAAGTACGGACTACCGGGAGCTCAGAATCTCCAACAAATAAAAAGGTTGAAATTTTTTCGATAGAAAATTCGATTCTGAAAAAAAATGTCCCATAATCAGGAGAGAGACAGTACTGTTTCGGCCCACTAGGCCTCATCAGCCGATCTCGGTCTGCAGACAACTGGGACAACTCAACGCTTTGGGTATATCACCCATTTCGAAGACGCCGGATAATACATGAGGTTCTGATGTTATCGCCATCTAGTGGCATGACATGACAAGATGGCGATATCATAATAAACAATAACATGAAATTTCCATGGAGCTTGAACAATATACATACAAACATATTTTCAAAGCTCACTATGTTCAACTGACAATAGGCTACTTATTCATAGTTTTGGAATCAGAAAAGAAGGCTCTATCGACAAGTCAAGAAATGTATAGGGTGTTCCATTAAAAAAATCAAAGTTGATGTGTTTTCCGGAAAAACAAATGATTATGGAATCGTAAACGGGTTGACCGATTTCACTAAATCTTTTATTGTTGTGTTCATTATTATCAGGAGAAGGTTCCTATGAGAGATACAATTTAGAAATTCAAGATGGCGAATTCAAAATGGTGGACGAGTTTTGTAATTATAATCCGATTCCATTCAAAATTGGTATCTGGTGGTTTTTGCGGTCGGAGATTGAGATTCTTTTATCAAAATTGGAAAATTCAAGATGGCGGATCCAATATGGCGGACGAGTTTTGTAATTATAATCCGTTCATATTCAAAATTGATATCTGGGGGTTTTTGGGGTCGAAGATTGAAATTCTCTTGTCAAAATTGGAAAATTCAACGAGTTTTGAAATTATCCGATTCTATTCAAAATTGGTATCCATAAGGGTTTTCGGGTTCGGAGATTATGATTCTGTCATCAAATTTTGGAAGTTCAAGATGGTAAATCAAATCTGATGGTTTGAAAATTCAAGATAACGGATCCAATATGTCGAACGAGCTTTGTTATGAATAGTGTTTCGAAAAACTAATGAAATACACTTTCATAGATAGCCCAACTAAAATGAAGTGGAAAAGGAATAGTAGTTTAGTAAACTAAAGAGATGATCTGAAAGGAAGTAGAAAATAAATAGTAGTTCGAAAAACCAAGAAAACACGCTTTTATGGTCAGTCAAAAGAAGTAGACAATAAAATGATAAAAGTGTGTTGTCGAATATTCAACTGAAACAATATTTTCTAGAAATAATGTAAATAGCAAAACAACGTTTGCCGGGTTAGCTTCAATCAATAAAATTACTCGAACTTAATTCAATATTTGTGTACTGTCTTTCTTTCAAATGTATTTTAATAAGTAGCGTAGCAACGCGCGCAGGGTAAAGCTAGTATAAAATAACTTCACAAAATAAAATTTTGGGTCCTTTCGAACAACTTTTTTCGATATTTTCTCAAACTTATGAGCTGGTCAACTTTTTAAAAGGAAAAGAAGAAGAAGAAGAAGAAGAAGAAGAGGAATAGTTCTTCATATCTCTAAAAACAAAAGAGTTAAGATGGGGTTCAATTTTGAGAGACGCACCCTGTAAATGAATGCAAAATAAAAAAATGGTATAATACACACGTGAATTCGATTAGTGTGTACAACCCTATTCACAATTATCTTGAACTCTGCACAAAGCTACGAGTGTTTTGGCAATATGTCATGAAACCATTCATTTGGTCCCTTGTTTATAGGTTTATAAAGCAGTTGATTCCAATATTATGTGACTAAATCAAAGCAAGATTTAAAATAAAACATAAAAAAACACTTACATGCTTGAAGAAGTGCAGCACCCAAAGAAAGTTGTCCACATCTGCCTACTAAATATTCCGATTTTTCTCGGGAAAACACTTGAACAACACAGAAAACCACACGATTGTCATATATTTACTGAACCGAACGAGGATGTCTAATTTATCACTTGTTAATAATACGAGATCTTAGTTTTAACCAGTGAATCCGACCGTTCGCGGTGAAATTTAATACAGGAATGTCTTGATTTATCACCTCACTGCAAATGACTAATAAGTTGCATAACACGCCTAACTGTTTTATTCCCGAACAAGTATTGTATCCATGACTCAATGATAACGATAGTTTACAGGGGAGTACGAAGACATTTAATATAATTATGTTCATTAGAAAACAATACAGGGTCATTCGTGAAATCTTCCGTTTCAAGTATCTGATTAATTGAAACGAAATGGAACGTAAAAATTAATCTGGAATAATTACAAAAAGCTCAAAGTCATTTCCACACAATGTTCATGAAATGAACAACAATGGTAGATTTCAGGAGAAAAACAACAACTTTCCTGGCTAATGCCACGCAGAACATTGAATTACATCCTCCCGAAATCTATGCAATCTATGGCTATTTCGAAGTTGAAATTACGCCAATCGGGCAATCAGCCACTCCCGTATGGGAATTTCAGTGTTACTTCCATATTGTCTATGAAAGACGCCTCTGGGGGAATATAATGCCGATTAGATTTTTATTTGGCTAGGCTACGCTTAGTCGGCGGTCTTAGGACTGCTGGCTGGAGACTGCCCTGCACTGATGAGAGTCAAAGAGCTCGAAACCGGTCTGTAGATGTCTAGCGTGGCCTGGCTAAATCGAAATCAATAGGCATTCAGGAAAGAATCACTTGTGTCAGAGGATGTAATTCAATGTTCTGCGTTGCATTGGGCAGGAAAGTAGTTGTTTTTATCCCGAAATCTACCATTGTTGTTCATTTTATGAACATTGTGTGGAAATGACTTTGAGCTTTTTGTATTTATTCAATTAATCTTTTTGTAATTTGCAAAAGACATCCGATTTCAGTTTTCTGATGATAGTCACATAAACACGTTTGATGTTTGTATATACAGGGTGTCCCAAAACTCAACGTCATCCTTTGGAGGGATGATAGTACAGCTCATAACTAACCAGAATATCATAATACGACCTTAATGAAATATTGATACTTCTGGAGATAAACCTTTGATTAGTATTTCGAGTGCCATAGGTACAAAACTTCATAGTATGATTCTGATATTTGCTATGCACTCTGTAATGTAGGGTTATTACTTGATTACAATTCAAAATAAAATGAATCCAAAATGAAAATATTGGTGCAATACCAGTCTGAGTAAGCTGATTATTAGTTATTTTTGTATCTAGAGCGCGAAATGCTTCTTTGGTGATCGAGATCTGATTTTTTAACGAAGCGTTGCCGAGTTAAAAAAATAGTTGAGATGACCAAAGTATTTCGCGCTCGAGTTGCGAACAACATTTTTTCTACAAACGTCAAAGAATATAGTTCTGAAGTGAAAACATGCATAGCTTGATTATAGAAAATAGTGTTGAACTGGCTAAAAAGGCATCCCCCTATGGCCTATCCTCCCTAGGTACGCACGATGTTCCACGAACATAATAGGAATTTCCTTTCGTGCGCATCAAGAGATAAAACAAAGCTATTGTTGAACATTCAGAAATAAATGATTTCGTGGATGTTTGCTCGATTGAGGACCATAAAGTTGAAAAATAAATATCTCATATATTTTACATAACAATGCGCGAAGTATGTCTGAACCGATTCTTGATGGATTTGCATGGTCGACTGACAAATTTCGTAGCCAACTCGTATATTAATAAAGCGATTAATGATCTCGAACATTAACATTATCGCACTCATTGATTCACTATTTGAAAATAACTACAACATAGGTTAGGTATTTTCTCGAGTGTTTTGCTGTTATAAATTTCAAAGCATGAGAAGAATTTCTAAAATTCCAGATTTTTTTATTCACTGTTATCTATTGTGCTGGAGGCCCTTTATATCCACGGGGCCCTGGGCTTCAGCTCATAAATCCCTTATGTAGATCCGCCCCTGCAAATGAGGGCTTAAATTATTTATTGTCCACCACATTGCGCCACTGAAACGTGAGGTCGAGGTCACAGTTGGTAAAACTGATTAATATACTTCTTCTTTTCTTTCATTTGGCCTCTTCCTACGGTATCTTCTTCAATGTATGAATTGGTAGTAAAGTTCCACATTGAGTGTTGAAAAAAACGTAAGTCTGCTCAAGTATTTCCATAACTTGAAATTCCCCATTTGTTCAAATATTCTCATTTTTTCCGAATATTTTCGATTAAACAGACCACAGACTTGGGGCTATCTGGCAAAATTTTGTGATTTTTGACTGACATTGACCTCACGTTTTAGTAGCGCCAACTGGTGAGACGGGAAATGTTAGCCCTCATTCATAATATTCATAGTTAGTTGAATTATTTTTTTGATGTTCCTTGAATGTACTTTGATACATGGGATTAACTTGTTTTCGACTGATAAAACCATTGCTCTCCACCCTCGAAGGTGCGACAAGACCTTCAAGCATCGCCAGCTGCTGCTGCGCCACCAGCTGGTGCACACCGAGAGGCGGCCCTACACGTGCAAAAAGTGCGACGCCACCTTCAAGTCACAAGCGAACCTGGCCAATCACGAGGTGGTGCACTCGGGCGCCAGGAAGTACGTGTGCAAGGTGTGCGGCCAGCGGTACGCTCATAGGACCTCGCTGACGCTGCACCAGAGGTACGTCAGTATCTCAGACTAAACAATAAATAAATAGACACCGCGATCCATTCATAAATCATTATAAAGTATGCACCAACAATCCTAAACGCGAATCACAGATAAATAAATGAATTTTCGATTGGTAGGGAGAACTCTGTAGAATCATTGCCAAAGAATTGATGATATTTTTCATAGGTATATTTTATGTATCTAATAAATCTGGATTCCTTTAAATGTGTATATTTGCATTAATAAATTAACTCTCACGTATTGTAACATAATAATACATCATTTTGTAACGTCCAAGTGAGGCTATTTGATATACCTATTAAATATTAGGCCTGTTCGTTTGTCATGCTACGTAATATTTGATGTTCGTTTGTTCCCAGCAATTGATGATTGAGTGTTCGTTTCACTGAAGCAAAAGTAGCCATAGATCACTTGAAGCTGGATTTATTTTCTCCGCGAATTTTCAGGAAGCAGACAAATCAAATCAGGTTGATCAAGTTGGATGACAAATGAAAACAAAGAAAATGGCTAAAAATGCAACAATAATAACAATAATGCCAACGGTTTTATCATTTAAATCACTTATTCTTTCAACTCGATCAACATCTACGATCAAAACCTCCAATCAGAACCAATTAAAAACGAATTCGGAAATTACTCAGATTAGGCTATGTTCAGAAACTCGTTCAGAAATGATTTGTGCCACTGCTTTGTGTTTGTTTTTGTTGAGCCGTAAATCAAGCATTCTGTTTGTTTGAGTTGAGCAAGAGATAGATGCTCCTACTGGATTGTAAAAATCAAATCAGTGATGTCAGATTACGTGTTCTTGATGATTTTTTGAGCATGTTGATCTTTTCAAACGAACTGGCATATTATAAACACACTTTACATACCGCCACTGTACCAAATTTCTATGTACCTGTGAAATATCAGGTTAAGATTTTTTCTTTACAGATTCGACACTGCCGAACCATATTAATTCACAAAACAGTCTGCTTAGATTAATAATATCAAAAACGGCAAATCACTACGATTATCGTTCACCCACTAAGAAACTTTGCGATACCGCCACTCATCTTTGATTACTTATTTATATTTTTTATTTTGTGGTCACTAGAATGGTAATAGTTATCTGAATATTAATCAGTTTTTAATTTTCAAGGTAATCATCAAATATTCAATGATTATAATCGAAATGCGGGTATAAGAATAATACTTCACCACTTCACCATGATTGTTGGCACTGTTTCAATAACCAATATTCTATGGTCACCAAATTATCACCTGAATATACCGGAGAGTCTGTTGATGGTATTGTGTCTTGTTAGTTTGAGTTTGAATTTGAATATATTGTAATATTGTAATTTCAATAAGATTAACATAGTTCTACCCTACAAAACTTAACGCGACCAAAAACGAAGTAGGGGTATCTCGGATCTTCGTTTTCCTCTTCGTTTATCTTCGTATATCAACGAAAATGATGTAACATAATATGTTATCAAATTGCCATTTCGGTTTCTTAAATGAGGAATATAAAGTATAGATACTAGATAGTTTACAGATATGACGGCAAAATTCAAATTTAGGACAATTTCAAAAGTAGGACTCGAAATTTTGTTTGCCAAATTACTGAAGTACCTAACTAGAAACATTTATTTTTCCATCTAGATGGCACGATGGGGAAAAGCCTTACAATTGTGAATTTTGTGACAAGTCGTTTTCACAGAAGGGAAATCTGTTGGAGCACAGAAGGATCCATACGGGAGAAAAACCGTTCTGCTGCGACGAGTGCGGCAAATCTTTCACTACTTCTTCACAGTTTCAGATGCATAAAAAGAGACATACAGGTATTTATGCTGCTGGTCAGGACAACATGTGATTCAATTGTTTTCAGCATTGTCGATCTAAATGAGGAAGCTAGTTTGCTAGTTAGTAGGCGAGATGTATAAAATTGTCAATAGCTCATTTGTTTCAATGTCAGTGATACTGTTTTAGGTTGAAGTAATCAACTAGTCAACCACAGATATTGATTAAAGAGAAGAATATTAGTAACGATTGGTACCTGACATTCATGATGGAACCTGACAGTTTTGGCGACTGGTGGTTGACTGTTGAGTTCCTTGTTTGAAATATCCTTCTCCGACTCCTTTAGAATTGCGATTGTATATTTTATTGGTCATTTCTCCTAGAGCTATCAATTAGATAGTTGGTTTGTATTTGTTGTTGTTGTCGTTGTTGTGTTTGTGTGTAAATTGGTAATTCCAAGCTAGTAACTACATTAATTGTTTTTTCTTTTCTTCAGCTCTCATATTTATACCTCGTTTATAGCTTCTAGTAGACTTTATTTTGATTGTCCATTTTCAATAATGTTTCTATATAGTGCTTCTGTTAGCTTATGGTGGTATATTCGAAAAAAATGCATTGATATTTCAGGAATAAGAACATTTGAAGTTTACTAGCTTATCATAAATATGAAGGGAAATAAGCAGCCCCTACCTTTCTGCTTGGCTTGCATGTCAAAAAAGTTCAAGCAGTAACTTTTTTATATAGCATAGATTTTCATACTTGATGAATATTTCTTATTGTTGTTTCAACCTCGAGTTACAACATGAGAGATTTTTATTTACAAACTTGTCTATGGTTGACACTGACAGGAACATGAAAATGTCTAGGTTTGGGTTGAAAATTGAACAACTAAGTCCATGTATTTATGTTGATGTCTCTATGGTATAGGTTACTGTCACATTTTCCCAATTGTTTTTTCTCGTCTACTAACTATAGCTTTTCCGTTCAGTTCGAATTGAAATTGAATTCATTTTGAAATACATTTGATAATTCTAGAAATTAAATTGACTAATTTGAAATGAAAATGATAATAATAATAATAATAATAATATAAGTTTATTCAAAAACGTAAACAAAATATACATTGGAATAAACATAAAGGTAATTTGAATAAACTGGGAAAAACCTTACGAAGTTAACCTTGTAGTAAGGATAAAAAATAAATAAATGTACATAGGTCAATAAATATTTAACAATATCAAGTTATCACAATTGAAAATTGTCTCATTAAGAAATGAGACAAGTATTCAATTCATAATATATAGTGTACGGAGCATTTCATTCAATACGCATAATTATTTATATTCATACATACTTATTCACAATTATTATACTTTTTGAAATCCAAATGACAATTTGGAAATACAATTATTGACCATTTTTGAACTAATATTGAAAAAGGTGTAGTAGCAGGTTTTTTTGATATCCCATTCTTGTATAACTATTGGATTCATGCATCCTCATTGACTTACTATTAGTTTTTCCTTCAACTTGGCCTTGTATGGTATGATACCATGTTTATCATTTTTCTGTAGATATAGTATATTATTGACCATATTTCTAGAAGTTAGACATTTAATATGTTTCTTGGGAATAATAATAAAGATAAGGTTGGCTACAGATCTGTTAGATGTTAAACGTGAATGAAGTCGGCGCCACTGTCGAACTTATTCGTATCTGTTCCTGATCAAATCCTGTTGAATGGTTAATTATTAAAAATAAGAGCAAGAACAACTTATCGGGTCCAAGCTTTCAAATCATTGTATCTTGGATAAAAACTATTGAATGGTTAATTATTAAAAATAAGAACAACTTCCTGGATCCTTCCTCTTTCTCAAACTATAGACAATTGACTTTGACAAAAGACAATGCATTCGACAAATGACATTAAATACTACCGACAAATATCACAGAATGACTCACTCTTCCGGAGTGAAATATTCTTGTTTAACCTTATCGGTATCCGTTCAGGCGTGAAACCGTGGACGTGCGAGTTCTGCCACAAGCGCTTCCTGCACGCCGACTCGTACAAAGCGCACGCCAACCGGCACCTCGAGTACCGGCCGCACCGTTGCTCATTGTGCGAGCGCTCGTTACCGGTGCGAGCGGTGCGACAAGCGGTTCGCCGACAGCTCCAACAAGTACAAGCACGTGCGGCAGCCCGAGCGCGACAAATAAAATATGGTCAATGTTCTCAATATTATTTATTTTTCGAACGTTTGTAAGGCATTGGATACAAAAGCGTTAGTTGTTGACGTACCGGGTGATTTCGCGATTTCAACACTAGATATATAGAAAACTGTTGAATATATTTCAAACTTGGAAACAAAATTGTGAATAGAATGATGTTCTCTATTCGACATTATCCTCTAATCTTCAAGATAAATGGAAGGAATGAAACAAGCAATTCTGGAGTGAAAAAGATAATTGTGTGTCCAAGTTTTCAATACATGATTGACATTGACATGACAATGTGTGTCATTTTGAATCCACATTAATTTTTTTTATAGTTCAATTAGTTTATTATTGCATGCCCACTGACTTTCATCAATTGTTTAGGTACAATATTATTATAGTATTTCTACGATGTAGAGGAAATTGTGAAATTAATCATATTAAATCTCCTTGTTTTATCCAAACTTGTCATAGGCAACCTAGAGAAAGGGAGATATGGTTTTGCTCTGAAGGAAGCTCATTTGTGTTATAAGAATGCACATAAGATGATCACATGGTAAAGACTTTTCAGGAGACATTAAAAAAACATCCTACAGCAATCATTCCATGAATAAAAAATAATTTCTCAAACATTTTCTAGTTATCAGCAGGTTTTTTTATATTGAATTTTTGTATAACTATTGGAATAACGCTTCAACATTGACTCACTATTAGTATTGCCTTCAACTTGGCTATGCATTGTATGATACCATGTTTGATATTCAATAATGAGAGGTTGGCTACACATGTGTCAGATGTCAAACGTGAATGAATTCGGCGCCACTGTCAAACCTGTTGGATGGCTAGTTATTGAAAATAAGAGCAAGAACAACTTATCGGGTCATAGTTTCCAAAGCATTGTTTTATTCTCGGATAAAAACTATTGAATGGTTAATTATTGAAAATAAGAACAACTTCCTGAACCCTTCCTCATTCTCAAACTAAACGAAATCGACATTCCAAAAGACAATGCATTCGACAAACGACACTAACTACTACAAACAAATACCACAGAATGACTCATGAGTGAAATGATCTTATCGGTATCCGTTCAGGCGTGAAACCGTGGACGTGCGAATTCTGCCACAAGCGCTTCCTGCACGCCGACTCGTACAAGGCGCACGTCAACCGGCACCTCGAGTACCGGCCGCACCGCTGCACACTGTGCGAGCGCTCGTTCGTCGATCCGTGGTCGCTCAAGCGCCACCTGCGCACGCACACCGGCGAACGGCCGTACCGGTGCGAGCGGTGCGACAAGCGGTTCGCCGACAGCTCCAACAAGTACAAGCACATGCGGCAGCACGAGCGCGAGGACAAGGCGCGGCGGGAGAAGGGGGTGGAGGCGGAGGGGGCTGTTGGCGGGGTGGTGGAGAAGGATGCGGCTCTAGAGGTGAGAAGCTGCGTCCATTTCGCATTTTTTGACGCATTGACGTTATTTATTTAGTGAATAATATGATCAGAGCTGAAGAGGATAGCAAGGATAGCAAATTTGAATTTGTCAGCTTTCCATCAAATGCAAATGAACTTAGAACATGGAAAGTGAAGTGACTAAATGGGGAAAATTGGTGAATACATCAGCAAAATATTCGAGGTTAAACTAATATGAAATCACATATTATACTTTCTCATTGTGCCTATAATTGTCCAATCCACAAGTTTTGAATGCATTTCAGTAGAAACAATTGAATAAAACGGAGGATAAAAAGAAGAGGCGCATGCCCTACCTTTTAAAAAATTAAACCTACATTTAGGAAATATTAAGTGTTTGTGAAAAACTGCAAAAACGATACCCAACATGAATATATACAGCACACAGGACATATGAGCACCTTAGTTAAAATACCTACATAACATTTTTCACCATTTCTCAACCATAAGGCTTAGTCTGAAATCAAAATTAATTTATTGATAGGTACTGCCTAAGAACAGTCCCATTTGGTAAAACTGTCTCACATAGATTATGCTGGAGTTGAAAAATCAGAAAATTATCATTATCTTTTGGATATAATATGTAGAGTTGAATGAGAAATTACATGTGCAAATTACGTATGATGCGCCAAGGTCCTCGATATTACCTAAAAAACAACAAAAGTTAGAAATCTAGTGTTTATCCCCAGAAATGAATGAAGAGGGAACTATATAACTGTTTCACAAACACTTTAGAGTGAGAGGAGACGAGGATCTGTCCGTATCCTGTTGAGATGACAAATACGTCAATTTACATCAAGGGACCCTAAGCATGGGGATGTCTGTTATCTTGAGAGATAAGACGTTGCTCAAATCAGGAAAAAGTTGCTCATTCTGGTGAATAATATAAAGTTTATAAGACTGTGACAGTCGACATTAATGACCTTCGGCTAAATATTATCGACTCTGGGACAGATAAGGATAAGAAGTATTGAAAGAGCAATTGCAAATGTGAAAAAAAGTTCAGAATTATCTATGATGGTGGAAGGTGGACAGTTTGAACAGCTTTTGTTATCTCCAATCATGGGGTTCAATCTTGAACGATTGAGCAACATCGTATCTCTCAAGATAACCGAGATCCCCATTCTTTAGCTGGAATCACGAACACCATATACATATATTGGTTTCCATAGTTATAAACTGATGAAAGGTAATTACCAAAAAAAATCATTTGAAGACATTGTCATTTTTCATTTGCAAAAATCTGCTTGCATAGGCTATGATGTTGGGTTTAAATAGACAAGACTCATGTCGCAGGCACTTTGTCAACTTGAGGATATTTACTCTCACCAACCTTTATATTTACAGAGTAACAATCGAAGCATTTAAAAGAAAACATAATTTCAAAAAACTATCAGATATACATAGCTATAATACTCGTAATAACAGATTAATTTTGAAACCAATGTTCATCTATGAGGCTAACAGAAAAGGACCATTATATATGGGTATCAAAATTTTAAATCACCTACCGAACTCACTCACAGAAATTTGCTCACTGAATCGCTTCAAGAAATCACTCAAACAATATTTACTGTCAAACATTTATTATAACCTAGAAGAATTTTTTTCAAACAATCGTCAATAGTATTTTCAACCTCAATATTAATGTTTATTGCTATTAATAACTATTTCATTGAATATTTCACTAAATTTACAAAAGCAAATACCGAAACATCTATTCATTGTACATATAAATGATAATTTCTGTCAAAGATTATACTTGCACTAAATTTGTGAAGTATTGCCAAATATCAACTCCGATTTGTATACATTATTTATTTTTCTCTCTCGTTATCTCAAATGTTCTTAGGAACTTGCATTGATTTGTAAAAAAATGTATTTTTTTGCACTCACTGTATTGAGAAATAAATCTTTCTATCTATCTATCTATCTATTCCGAATTTAACTGAATCTGCTGATTTTTCATTCTGAAATCAACAAAATTCACTGAAAGTCACAGATACTTGAGAGCAGAAATATTATTCATTCCAAATATTTCGACTCAATTATCTGCTGAAATTGCTGACTATTGAAAGGTAGTGTGGCTTCAGTGAACTGTCATTATTTTAGAGGGGGAAAGAACTTTACATTCATTTACGTTCTTCAAACATTTGACCATGTCATATCAATTATAAATTGATAATAATCAAAAAAATGCCTATTAAAATAATTGACGCTGAGAATAATATCTAAACACCAGATGACCAACTGCTGCTGATTACTGATGAAAACCATGAAAACGTGTTCCGGATCACAGTATTTTTCATTTTATATTTCAAAATACAGATTTTCAGCAGAGTCAGTGCATTGACAGTACTGACCAGTTGAATTCGGAATATAGCCATAATAGATTCAGATACTTACATAGAGAAAAAAATTGAGGACATCTTTAATACGTGTTTTGAGAACTACATTTCCGCCTTCTTGCTCTTTTCACAGATTAGACAGCTTACTGACCATCAAGGTAACCCGATCAGCATTACCACGCAGGATGGAAAAACTGTTCCGGTGGTCACTGTGGGCGACGATGACGAGAGCATACAAGGATTAATGCCCGATGGAACTCTGATACCCATCGAAATTGCGACTGAACCAGTGAAAGAGGTAAGGTCGAAGCATGAATATCAATGTTTTTCTCAGTTACATGTTGTTGTTCCGGAATCAAAAGTACATATGAAGGTCAAGATTCTACTGGGACATAGATATATCTCGGACAGCCTGCTATATTCTAGAACATTCTGGAAGATCCTAGAATATTCAGGAGAATTTTAGAATATTCTCGAAACTCCGGGAATTGTTTATAATATTCTGGAACGTACTACAAGATTCTGGAAAATTCTCTGAATTTCCCGAATTTTATAAGCGTGTCCAGATTTCCAAGCTTTTTCGCGATATCCCAGTTATGTTTGGAGATAGAGTATTGCAGTTTTCACATTACTGCCTCTTTTTTTGGTGAAACGAGCAATGTCGCAAACGGAATTTTCACAGCTCTCCAAGTTTTTGAGATACAGGGCGAAGTTGAAAATTCTCGCTTTTCGAGCCCTCCCGTATCTTGTTTACTTTTCAACTTATCGGCAGGATAAGAACGGGACCTTGTATAACTTTTCCCGTATAATACAGTGGTGTACTCACTTCATTTTTGTACAAGTACTGAAGGAAGCCATTTGGCCAGACTTGTCAATGTCAATGCCACACTTCCCTCCATTATACGCAACCAATATTTAGAAATGGTAGCTGAAAAATAATGTGTGCCACGCCGTGTCAGTCGTTTTTGGGAACACGAATAAACATGAACGTGACGTGAGTACCGTAAAATAAAAACGAGTATGCATGACTCGACGTATTATGCGCAGCCTGGATGTGCGCACACACAAAAAATGGCCGCGGCCTCAGATGGAAAATTCTTTTCAGTTGAAATCGAGAAGACATCGCCGTTTCCAAACATTTGTGCATATGAACATTTTTCTTCTTATTAAAGGAATCTGCGCTAAGCTTATGTTCATATACTTGTAACTTCATAAAGAGACACAACGACTCATTCATAAAACCTTATTTGTTACGTCCCAATGACTCCATGAGGATACCAAGGAATACCCATCGGATCTCTTTCCCAACGATGTATAGTTACTTCGTATTTTTGACGCCATAATTCTATTGTGGATACTATGAAGGGAAACGTAAGGGTACTTCTTTTTCCACACTCAGCATTGACGAAATATTTCACTCTGGATTCCACAAATATTCAGTAAAAATCATGAAAAACATTGCCGACTACCCGTCAAACCTACAAACCACGTGTGTGGCAACACCGCTACACAATGCCTACGAGAAATGCCGAAGCTGTCAAATGCAACACACGATAAATCTCAATGATTGAAGACTATGGAATTCCGAAATTGGGGCGATGAATAAAATGTGGTGTTCTATGAGACATAATGACATGATAAATCACAAGAAAAAATTGTTTTGGAAATGTTTCAAGAAATGTGCACTAATTCCTTCCAAACACCTAATTCACTGTTGCAACTGTAAATTAGTAGATATCAAAAAAAGTACGTGAAAGTTCTTTCAGGATGGCAGTTCGGACGCGTCCTACTTTTGAATTAAATAAAAACGATCTTCCAATGAATGTTCCTACACATTTTGTAAGATATCATTATGAATGATAAATATATAATGATGAATTACTGGAAGGGCTCATTCGGCCATGTATATAATAGTGTTTGAATGTAAATAATTTCATCATAAGTGATATTATTTTGCCATAAATTCGGCGATTGTTCGATTGTTACGACAGCTTGTTGCCTGCAAGCTAGAGTATGTCAATCGACGATTATTTCTAGGAAAAATAGTTTCACGAGTTCTATTCTTATAACTATGTCATGATCAGAGATTAGTCAATCACAGAACTTGACTAATCTCTGGTCATGATTGAAACAATAAACGAACGCCTCGCGAGAGTTTCACACACTGCATCCATCACTCTGGATTTCAACAGAATTGACGTTTTGAATGTCAATGATTTTATCAACAGTAAGAACAAAAGAGCTTTTTTTAATCGGATAAATTTCTCTTGGTAACGAAAAACATTTGCCGATCAGTAATTTTACGAAAAATTTCAGTTTTTCGAGAGAAATGACTGATGGAAAATGGAGTTCGTAAGGAAATTCATCCAATTAAAAAAAAGTTCGACTGTTTTTTGGCAAGATGAATCAACGACAATATGCAAATAAACAACAATAATGATTACCTTTATTGATGATTCCGTGTAACTGGTAGTTTGCGGATTTGATTTTCTCATATTTTCGTGGTTTCTTCAGACGAAACTTTCGTAAATCGGCTCATCTTGCCAATTTACGCGTGAACCATACCCATCAATCAAACTCGACACTACAATTGGAGTGACATCAGGCGCAAATAGCTACTAGATCAAAGAAGCAGGCAGTTTATCAGCGATAAAAAAAGGTACATCCTTTTTTATCGATGTCAAAATGACTCACGACGTCGTCGTCGTCAAATAGCGTTTTCCGTGTAGGAGTTGATTTATCAACAGTAAAAACACAAGAGCTTTTTTTATCGCACAAATTTCTCTTGCTAACAAAAAACATTTTTTCGAGAAAAATTGACATGAAAAAATTGCGAGACCGTAGGTTGGGCCATCTTATCTCAGTCAGTTCTTCGAGATAAATTACTGATGGAAAATTTTTGAGTGGGTTAGGATATTTATCCAATTGAAAATAACAGTTCCGAGTGTTTTTTGCAAGATGAATCAACGAAAACATACAAACAAACAACGATAATGATTACCTTTATTGATTATTTCGTGTTACTGGTATGTACTTCGCGGAATTGATTTTCCTATATTTTTTGTGGCTTCTTCAGACGAAATGTTCTTAAAACGGCTCATCTTGGAATTTTCGTGTGAACAATACCCAACAATCATACCTGACACGACAGAAATTGTAATGACGGGCGCATATTAGATGAAGTCATCGTCAAATGGCGTTATCTGTGGAGGAGTTGATACATACATCGGGTTAATAAGTCTATGACGTTTTTTTTTTGTGACAGGTGCCTAAGCTATGCATAACCGAAGAGTCGTCGATGAAAGAACCAATCCTGATGGACGATAGCACCGGAATCGTCCAAGTCAATGGGGCAGGCCTCGACCCGGGTATATTCGTCACTGACGATAGCGGTCAGGGAGTTTGCCTCGTATACACAATGGAGGAAAACAACGAGGTGGACCAACAACTCGCCATCGATCCCTTGCTAATCCAAAGCCGATGATCCTGAGTATTTTTATTTTAATGAATATCGTAACTTTTCAATTGAACTTTTATTTTTCGTCGACCTCAACGAAAAAATACATACGTACTAATTTCCGAATGAAAAATCATATTTTCTTAGGCAAAAACTCCTCGTCCGCAGACGTTGAATATTCCTTGGCAAACTCTTTTAGTCCGTTGTGGTCACTAGGATACGGCACGGTGCAAGAGCGGCGATTGAGTTGAACATGACTGTGAAATGCTGTTTTCAAATTAATTATTCACGAAATTCGATAGATTTTACATGTAGGTAAATAAGATTGTGGTGTGAATATAAGTGTTTGAGGTCGACGAAAAATTGTGATTTGTACCTCGGCGACAAACTGTATATTGTCTCGCCTGCTTGCCAGCCTCGGATGTACCTTGGCTATCAATTTGGTTGACTATGAAAGACAGTTTTTCGTCCTTGGTACATGAATAACTATTTTCTACAAACGTCAAAAATGACAAGGTTCGCGCACTGGATGTAAACTATAATATGAGATTTTTGTATTTTAACCTTCATGGTCATCAATCCATCAAATATCCAAGGCATTTATTTTTAAATATTCAACAATAATTAAGGCTTTTTAAGCCAGTTACACACTATTTTTTGTTTGCAACTCATGCGCCAAATACTTTGCTGATCTATTTTTTCAACTCGCCTGTTCCTCGTTGAAAAATCTGTTTTTGGTAACCAAGTATTTCGCGCACTACATACAAAAATAACTGATTTATTCTTCTACAATCATTATTGTGTTGAGATGTTTTATTATTATCATGGTGCCATCTGTAGTTGTTTTCTGGTATAGTGGTTACACTCCACAAGTGAATTTGTTCAAATAACAATCAGGATATCTGTATTTATTACTCAAAATTAAATATCAAGTTTGTGAAACTGGGGAAAGTGGCCAATATTTTGTTACTTGTGCCCAGATGTATGTATATAAGTATTTGAATGAGAATTGTTTTTTCTCAAGTTGGTATTATATCAGGTCATTGTACATTATCAAAAAAATATTGAATTATTGAATATAAATATAAATTTATTTAATATAGCTATTGTTTGGAAACCAGCTGTTTTTTTTTTCTACTGTAATATAATTATGATATCTGTGAAACTATCAACATAATTTTTCAACATTTCTCCATGAAAGCCTTTCATTCTAGAAGGAAGTGCGCTGGTTGGATCATCATGGAAAGATTATGAATATTCACAATTAACATTTCCTCCAGTAGCAACCTGATATTTATAATCAATTGATGATTTTTATCTGGATGAAAATACATCAAAACCAGACCAAATATCAATTTTAAATTTGACGTATAATTAGAGCCTAGCCATAGCACCACCATACGGGAAATATTCCCACGGTGGCAAGTTAAGAGCGTATAAAATTGTTTTGTTTGTTTTGCCAGAAGCGTGGTGTTCATATTAGAGTAGTGTTCCTTCCTTCGAACTAAAAGACCGGGGTTCGATCCCTACTCCATCAGCTAATCTTTTTTTATATTTTTTTCGAAGTAATTAATCGAAAAACTACTATGGAGGCATTTATTGGTTAAGCCGATAGTGATTCGCTATTTCAATTATGTTTCTTCTCAGGATCGGCCGGAATTTTTCAGTTTCTCGCGCCAAGTGAGCGAGGCACAATATCACGTCGCTATATTTAATATTTAATAATATTTAATTTGATATCTTGAATTTATTCCACATTCTGCGTAAAATGGCCTATTGACGAACTTCTCAACCACTTTTAGGCTAAATCTTTAGTCATCAGATAAAGAACTATATAGCCGTTATAGGATTCGAGTAAGTTTTAAGTAACCCAAAGGTTGAGTGGGAAATTTTTCATTCCAACATTTTGTAATGCGCATGAATCGAAGAATCCATCGTAGTGTTGCAAAATTCCGCTGGAATGTTGTTGGAAATCCATCAAACTGTTGTAATAAAATGCGCACTTTCAAATCGCTTTGCGGGAATCCAGCGGTTTGGAGGAGACTGACATGACAATTAACACATTTTACGTGTTGTTTCTCGTTTTTAATTGAAAATATAGAGGAATGTTTGAATTCTGAGATTGTTGAGAGATTTAAGAAGATGGAGAAATAAGTCTTAATCAATAAAATGGTATCATCCTCTTCTAATTCTGAAGATACATAACGACTGACACACACACTGAAATCCTTTTTTCCATCAATGTGTTAATTGTATAATCCATTCTTCCATCGTTCCAGCATAAATTTCATCAGAACCATTGGTGACGTCACGACAAAAAAACCGCATCTGTCAATGCGCACTTTCTTCGATGAAATGAAAAACACGCCCATTGTCTGTTAATCAGACAAAAGCTAGAGTTCCTCAATGCACTTGACACTGCTGTTTTGACGTTTTTTTTTTATATTAGAGTAAGTATACCAATGAACTTATTGAGTTCATTGACGGATACGTAAATCAAGTAAGCTGCCGACCTTGATATTTAGCCGTCATTGGATAAAGGATCCTCGCATCTTCCTTCCTTCACAAGTCCTAGGAAGAGTACATCCATATATCTTTCTCTGTCTTTGATCTTTGTATGAGAGTGCATTCGCGATTGAAAATAAGCGTACGCCACGAATCGGAGTTCTTGAAAGCTGTCAAACCGGCATGTTTCATTGGTTCACATTTGTTTCGTTTGTGCTTATTGGTCATAATCATCAAAACAAACCGCTCAGAAGTGTTCAAGTTGCTGTCGTCTGGTAAGGCGACGTGTTATTTTCTATCGCGAATATATTTTTCATTACAAAAGTTCAGAATGGGGTGAAAACTGATGAATTTCAACCAATGAAACATACTTTTATTTCGTATGGAACAATTTCACTTGTACAAGAGTGGTAGGTAATAAGTATATAATTAATAAATTAACAAATTATATGGTAACAAACAGCTGATTTCAGTTAGGATAAATGATAAACACTTCATCCAAACTTTTTGCATCCCATCTGTTACCATTCAATTTTGAATTTTGAGATGAATCATGCTCATATAAAGCAACATTTTCACTAATATTATCCAATTTGTTATTCAAATCTACCGTTTTCTGCAACCGGGATCTGTGAAAAACCGTTTTTCCAGGAACCAATCCGAACATTTTATATTTTCGGAACAGAAAACTATTAACCGAAATAAACAAGTGATTTATGGAACATACCCCAAGATCGTGACCCCAAGTTATGCTTATGCATTGAACTCAATGTATGTACGCTGGTAAATAGGCCTTTTCATTTAGATGACAAATGACAAAAACTCTGTTTACATCTCGCATCCAATGACATTGGCGGCCATTTATATTTACCGCAAGATTCCCAACATAAAAAAAGAAAACGCAAGAAAAACCAAGTATAAGACAAGGTTGGTAGAACTGATGACTATTTTGTAGAGGAAGGTTGCCTCGATCGCACCACAGATTATCGCACCCCGCGAGTGACCTTGAGTAACTCATGACGTAATAGGCCCTTTCTTTTGCACGAAAAGTGTAGCACAGTAGCACACTCGTACACTTCGTGTATGATATGTACGCCGGCGATCGGCCGGCGCATGTATTGAGTTGACAGTTGTCAGTATTTTCGAATATTTGTACCATTTTGAACTTAAAAATGTAAAAATGATAATTTGTTCGGTCACTTCTTGTTAAAATTCGTACAAGTGTAATGAGACTAGTGAATTTAGTTTGTGTTTCCATTAATTTCCATAAGATGAGTCTATTCGTGAGAAATATGGATTCAATTTTGTGGACGTAATTTTAATTCATTTAATACCAAAACTTGGCGAATATGTTCTGCCCATTTCGATGCCGAGGATTTTGAACGGCACAACCAGAATTGCTAAATCACACACCAAAGAGATGAAAACTCAAGGTAGGAATCCCATCAATAATACCAAATACAACAAGAGAAACACCATAAGTATTCAAGTTTGGAAAAATGATCAGAACCAGACCAGTTGTGAATGTTGAGATTCTTGCTGAACGGGTAAAATGGACATCAGAAGATATCACACGTGTTTTCAAGTTGAGATATTTGAGCAAGAGTACGTTACCCAACGAAGAGGAGCTATGTGTATTTGAGAGATTCCTTGAACTATCCTTCATTATAGGTTCACTTATAAGTAGTGTTATTTTTCATTAATTTTGTTCAGAATCATATTTTGTTATTTTTTTATGCTCAAATACTTCGATCAATTGCTCTGTTTTTGACTACAATATAATCAAACAATGAAATACTATTTCCTCTTGTATTTTCTATAGGTATCTAGGAAAGTTTGTCAATTTTTCAGAATACAGAGTTATATTGATAAAATAAGTGATCTGTTGTGTACGAATATTGGTCCACTGCTACTACTTCTGGATCATCAGTTGATTATTCTTATATTTTCTGTAGTTTCTTGTTCACATTATCTGATTCGCAGGATATTTATAGGTTGAGTAGGTTCATAATCAATGCATAAGTAATCACTAGCTCCATAATTATGCTCCATACCTCAAAACACACATACCTGGTACCACGACCTGGTAAATAGCCCCTGGAACAAAATTTCAGATAGGTATTCCTCTCTGTACTACTGATCCATCCAAAATTGCCTTCTCATTTCGAAGACTGAAGGTATTATACAGAAGTATATGTAAATATCCATATTTTATAATGGTACTCACTTATAATTATATACAATAAATTAATATAAATATGCTGAGCAGACCAAAAAGTTTGTATCATGTTTGTATACTCTATTTGGTAAACATTTCATGACATGTCGCTTTAAGGTTGACAACTTGTCGTCTTACTGCCTGTGACGTCACGAGTGACCGTTTCCCCCCTTGCCGCACTATCGATCGAGGCAACCTTCCTATACAAATTATAATCAGTTCTACCAACCTTGGTATAAGAAATATTTGAGATCATGGCTCTATACTATTCCTCGAAAGGAACTACACTAACTGCCCGAATGCCAATGGTGGTTGACATTTGACAAAACGTCAATAATACCCGCCATATTCGAATTGGCCAATCAGCATTTTGTGTTGGAACTATAGGTAATGAGACTTCACCTTCGCATCATCCAATGAATTCTTGGATCTAAAAACGAGCGCATGCGCCATGCGCCTTAAAAATTTATCTAGATGAGAAGTTAGAGCACAGAAGATTTAGGTATATGTTCTGTGGTTAGGGTTTTCTGACTGTTCTGTAGTTCTGTGTTTTTAACCTCACTTTAGTTTTTCTTTTTCAACCAGATTTTTCAATTTCTTTTTATGTTCGATTCATTGATATAATGTTTTCAATGAAATTGGCTCAGTCATTTACAGGAAATAGTCGTTCGGCATTGAAATTCGCCCCTCTTATCTCTCAACATGTATTCAGGCGTTGCAAAACAACAAGAGAAAGTGGCCTAACATCATCAGGAAAAACCGAAATTGATACAGAAGTGAAACCTCTGGGAGAAAAAGTTAAAGAAGCTACAAAAACAGTCTCATACTTGGGTGTAATTTTATTGGGTGTTGGTGTTACTGGTACTCTATTCTATGCAGTGTTCAGAGAACTTTTTTCTAGTAAGAGCCCCAACAGTGTTTATTCAAATGCTGTGAAAAAATGTCTAGCTGATCATAGAGTTGAAGATAAATTAGGGCATCCAATTAGTGCTTATGGTGAAGAAAATAGAAGGCGCAGAAGGCAACATGTATCTCATGTAATCTATACAGGAAAAGATGGTAGACAACATCTGAGAATGAAGTTTCATTTGAAAGGTTCATTTCATTCTGGAACTGCTCACTTAGACATGGTAGAAGTGAGTTTCTGAAGTTCTCAATGAGTGCTTAAGTATAAATGATCCTTCAAAATTTTTAATTTAATATAAAAGTATAGCTTCTTGGAGTTTTTATGTAAACATTTTTTTTTCTTACAGAATGATGCAGGAAACTATGAGTACAGGTATCTTTATGTGGAAGTAGATGACATGCTAAGAAATACCATTGTTATTGAAGATAATAGATATGCAGTTTCTTCAGAGACAAACTCCTTAGATGATATAACATTGTGAGAAATTCATGAAATCTATCCTTAATTCATGGCTATGTGAAGCAGAAGAGGTAACTTGTTGATTGACTAGCCTATACCTATTATGAAGACTGAGAGGTTATCAAGATACTACTCATTTATACTTGATTTATTCTGAATATTGAGGCTTTTGTATTTTATAGATAGTAAGTACCTGAAGATGGTATAAGCAAAAAACATAAGGAATTTATTATCATTGAAACATGTGACTTCTTAAGAAAATAAATACTTTATTTGTTTGTTGGCACTCCTTACAATATTTTTTTCAGTGGTGATTCTTCATAGAATAACACTAGCCTATTCTGGAAAATATAATTTTTAATTTTTTCTGAACACCACCTGAATATTATGTATGTGGCAAAATACTGAATCCAAGCCATTTTCAACATTTGCCATACTCCTGGTCTATATATCAGTTTATGTTCTGGATATTTTACTGATAATCTCAAATGGAATTCTTTTTTAATGTCTTCCTTCATTATTGTATATAAATTTGTTAATTGTGTTGTAACTAAAAAAATAAATTCACCTTTTATTTCAATGAAGCATTTAAAAATATTTTTCATACTCACTGTTCCTCTCCAAATATTTTTCTAGTATATATTCTATTTCAAACTTTTCTGATTCTGGACCAACAATAATTGAATTGTCATAATATCTGTGTGTACTACCCTTAGAACAGTCTATGGGACTCTTTTGATGAACTTTCAATTCTCCTAAAATATGGACATCAGTCACTTTGTTACAAAAATGATGTTGATAAATCACTGCTGATTGCATTTCTAGGGGACAAACAGTCTGAAAAGGAAATAATTTAGATTTCCTTATGATATTGAAACATTGGTTCTCAATTTATTTTTGTCTATATACTTACTTGAAGTTTGTATCTAATTGGCATAATTAGAATGATGGATTCTATACTGTAATCAAATATATTCAAATGAAAGTCAATTTTCATTTCATCTATTTTATTATCCAAATTTTCGTCTATTTCTCTCAGCTGAAAGAAATTAATTATTTAATAATTGTATTTTCCTGATGTAGACTCAAGTTTCAAATAAATTGAGTTTGAATATCTTTATATGCAGACAAAGGATATTCCATATTGATCAATGCATATAAATAATTGTTTTATACCTTTATTAGTGAACATAAATCCAGATGATCAAGCTGATTTTTATAAAAAGGATAAGTGCTACAGACTATGGGATTACTCAGATTATTTGTGGTAGCTATTAGCAAATGATCTCCTAGTAAATTGACCTGTGGTTGCTCAAGAAAATAATCCTGTTTCTGCCAAAATCCTGAAAAATAGCTTTGTTTTGCATTCATCTCATTCTGATAATATATAAGAATATGCTGATGGATTCTTGTACAATGTTATCTATCCAACCAAGAGAACCATCCCTAAATTTACGTTATTTTTCTCCAAGGAAAAAATAACAATATTGGAAAGTTGAATCCTCCATTCAAGTATTTTCATGACCTTTATGAGAAGTTTAATAGTGATCCCTCCAAACATGATGTACCTAACAGGAATCCATTTTGTGAAATGGAAAACTCTGTTTATATATTTTTGTACTAGCGTGCGGAAAAATCTACTTTTCCGCACTCATTTTAGTTCTGAAAAATTCACTTTTATGCAATAGTCGGAAAACATTTTAAACTCTAAAATGAGTGCGGAAAATAGAAATATGGGTTTTTTCTGCACGCTAGGTAGTTGTAAAAATAGTGTGTCTAACACGGGCGTATTAGTGACTTTTCCGCACTTAAATATTGTTAGTTAAACTACTAAAGTTTTGCTTTAGAAAAGTGTATAGAAGACTACATATACTTATAGTACTGTGTATATGTATTTTTGTATCAACAAAATCACAGATTTCGAAAACATAAGGGCCTTGAAGAGGCATTCAACTTCCACATGGTATTTTTTTTTCGACAGATGATCCGAGATTTACCTCCAGTGTGATAAGCAAGCATTAAAGGTATCATTATCGTAAACAGCTCACAAATGCATGTCAAAAATGCTGCTTTTGATACCAATGTACTTTTATATCGCACTTTTATATTTTTTGTATAAACTTCTAGAACAACCATTTTTGTACATTTTTCTTCACAATACTTTCAATGGCCACTTTCAAACATACGGATTTATGTTTTTTGTTGTGATTGTTATCAATCTTACCCCTCTTTCACCCAAACAAAACTGACTTTTGTTTGTAAACACTGCAATAGCGGGTTACTATGGATACGAGGTTCACTCATACATGTTACAAGTGTTATACAAGGATGTTACTCACGATGCTACTCTAATGGGTGATGCTTATATCATGATCTCTAAGGAAATTACTATTCTCATTGAGGTGTTATAATTGCTAATTATAACCCAGTTAACACAGATTGATCCCAGAGATGTAAGAGGGCATCACATTCATGCCACACATCACATCTGTGACTCGAAATGAGAGGCCTAGTGAAATCACAATGACTGCTATTTCGGACCCTTTTGGTCATTTTATGATTCACATTATGATGCCAAATGAAAATCACAGTACGTATTATGCGACTCCTCATTCAACATCAAAATTGATTTATTCCGTTCGTTACATAAATAGACAAGGATGTGAGGTTTCAGTGAGTCTCTTGGTTGTTAGGGAGACTCATAAATTCACCAACATTTCAGGTCTTAAATTTGATAAAATGTGAGGAATATTGCGAATGTTTTGTGAAATAAAGAGTCTCCTGGTAATACCAATGATGTTTTGTTGTGACTCGCATTGTTACCTAGCGAGGCATGAATGTGACATCCCAGGGATGTTTGTGTTTACTGGGAATTTTGAAATTCTTTGTACATCTAGCTGTATTATTCTCATCTGTTGTTTGATCGAAGATTCTCATATCACGTAGTATCTACCTATAGGGTTAATCAAAAATATCTAATGGACGTCCACCAAAATATTTTCATCACTTTATCTCTAAAAAACTATAATAGGTATAACAGGGTTTTCAAACTTGAGTCGGCACTATTGCTAACTTGGTTATCATTGGAGCTACACAAGTCGGTTAAATGGACAAACTAGTACTATTTTTTTCGCTGATGATTACGATGATGACATCGAAAATAAAAATTAACATCGCGTTCATGAGTTATGTCAAAAAGTTAATTTTTTTTGAGTATTCACTATTATCAATCGATAGGATATTCGATTCTGAACGGTCCTGTAAACTTATCCTAAATTCAAATTCAAAAATGACTTATCCACGATTTCTTTTACTTTTAAGTCCAAAGGTACTTTTTTCTTGAATTGGAAACCCAATGGATAGAAAATTGGATTCTGAACAAACATTATACCTCATATTCCATAATGACATAGGTGTCGACGATTTCTTTTTACTTTGCAGGTATAGTAATAAAGGCAAAATTACCACAATCACTTTGACGAAAAATCATCGATAGCTAGATTAGTCATTTTTGAATTTACGATGAAAAGTAGGTATATATAACTTGAGATTAATTTCCAGTATCAATTGTTTTTCGAGATATTTATAGTGTTGAGAGCGTGAAATCAATATAATCAATCAATCACCCTGTACCTCGTAATTCTACAGAAAAAACCCAACATCGTATTGTCATGGAACTGCGCCCAGGTAACAAGCTGACGTCATTTGTACGTCAATATATGGTCATTTATGGTCATTGACGTCATATGACCTCGAAATGACGTCATTTTGACGTACTTAATATGACGTTATATAGACGTCCTTGATGTGTCGTCAATATGACGTCATCTGATGGTCATTTTCATGACTAATTATAACCATTATTCATTTAGTCATCTACATCAAGGAGAATTCATAATCAAGAAGTTTCCAATCTCTGTTATATGAGAATGTTAGTAGTTTTGTTATATAACATATATTATTATGTCACTCATCATATATTATGCTTTATAATAATTTTTCTTTTAATCTGTGCGAAATGTGTGTTTTCGATGGTCTCTGAGATAATTGTTAATTATATACCTTCTGTGCAAAGTATTCTCCTTATAGCTATTAAAAATATAATACCGAATTTCACGTCATAAAAAGCTTATAAGGTTGTTAATTATTCCGGAATGCGTATTCAAATCAGAGCGGGAGAGTGCGTAGAGAACTGTACTTGATTGGTCGGCACGGACCTTGCGCAGACATGCGAACGTCGACCGCCAGCGCCAAGCCGTTCACTTTCGCTTCGCCGTTGCGGCCATGATGACCATAACAACAAAATAACAATACATAGGAGGCCATCATTATCATGTTATTTGGCTATCTATGTGGTGTGGTGTGGTGGTCATACTTATTCATATTCATGTATCAAGTAGTAGAATTTGAGGATGGCAGCATGGTCATTATTTTAGACAAGTGGTGTATGCCGAAAAAGCAGAATGTGAATTGGACGCCATTGAAGCAATACCATAGGGCTCTGAGAAATCTCTCGAGTGCATCATCCGAATGGGATAAGTTCCCAATGAAAAGATCATTTTATGAAACTGGTAATTATAGTACTGGTAAAGGAACATCAATATAATTATACAAAAAAATCTTATCTTTCCTGATGATATTGAGACAACCCTAATACAACAGTTTTTTTTCACCTACAGAAAATTTCAAAATAGCACAAAATACACTGAAACATGCAGAAGATTTCAGTGATATAAATAATCGTAAAGATCACGTCATTTTGACGCCATTAGGATGACGTCATTTTGACGACATGAAAATGACGTCATTCGTCTTTGACTTAGAAGGTCATATAAACGTCATTATGACGTCATTTTGGAAGTCATCCTGACGTCAGGCCTGACGTGATAATGACGTACAAATGACGTCAGCTTGTTACCTGAGTGCATAACAATATCACAATATTATTATAACGGCCACCGGCCGTTAAACAATCTTAACAATTGTCATCTGAATTCCGTTAAATCAAAATAACAGTATGGGATTACGAAAACTAAGTTGAATATGTCAGTGTTATTACATTTCCATGTAGACGGAAGAGTCACTAAAAGGATTGCAATATCCATCAACATTTTTTTTATCGCTTATTGGAGCGCACGAATGGGAATCCCTATAGTGTTCAAAGAATAGGGAGGATAGGGAGAAGTGGCGGTAGAGGTATTGTTTTTTTTTAATTTTTAGGGTTAAAGTTCTTGGGAATGAATATAAAAAATAATTCAATATATAATGTCTCTTATTATGTCTCTTGATTCTTTCTGTGAGTTTTGATTTCTGCTTAGTCGCCAATGAATCTGATACCTCTGATTTGTTTTTTTTAAATATTTTCGAGAAATTGTCAACCGTTTCGAATTAGATCTATGGTTTCTATAAGAGAATAACAAATTAGCTTTTTCTACAAACGTCAAAAAATGACAAGGTTCGCGCATTGATAACAAATTGCGAAGTGACACTTTTTTCAATTCCCTACGTTACCATGATACCTCGCACAAAACAATGCGCGAAGTAAAACAGTGCGCGAAGTACCTACTTCGCGCATTGTTAGGTAAAATATATGAGATATTCATATTTCAACTTTATTGTCCTCAATCGAGCAAACATCCACGAAATCATTTATTTCTGAATGTTGAGCAATAATTTTGTTTCATCTCTTGGAGCGCACGATAGAAAATTCCTATTATGTTCGTGGAACATCGTGTATATCTAGGGAGGATAGGGGGAGGCCTTTCAAGCCAGTTCAACACTATTTTTTATATCAAGCTATATAAGCATATTTTTATTTTGAACTATCTTTTTTGGCGTTTGTAGAAAAAAATTTGTTTGCAACTCGAGCGCGAAATACTTTGGTCATCTCGACTATTTTTTTAACTCGGCTACGCCTCGTCAAAAAAATCAGATCTCGATCACCAAAGTAGCATTTCGCGCTCTAGATACAAAAATAACTATTTGGTGAGTTTATTCTATCTAGTTCTGAAATATCAACATTTATAAATCATAAATTGATAATATTTTGAAGCAACTTGTTTTTGTATTGCTTGATGCGCACGGAAGGGAATAGTTATAATGTTCGAAGAACATCGTGCGTATACCTAGGGAGGATAGGATAGGGAGGATAGGATTATTGGAAATACTTCCTCAGGCAATGAATTCAGATCGTTTGACTGGTATTGCCTGTGATGGAATATATGATAGCAGAGATTTCTGAGGAACATTTCCCGTGAAAGTATGAAGAAAAAAGTGAAAGGTCGGCGACTTCTTTACGATGATATCGGAGTTAGTGAGTGTGGCATCACCCGCCAGGCGAATGGCTCGTCTCTGAATGGAATCTCACAGCATCAGCGTATGTTTGGGTGCTGAACCCCATATGCGTGAAAACTGTATTCTAGAACTGACAGTATCTGTGCTTATTTGCAGATCATATTGCCCCTATAGAAATTATTCAAGGAGTTTTTCCAGGGAAGGATGGCAGAGTACAAAAATATGTCGATTTTTAGCAGATGGTGAAGACTAACCGTTTTCACGGGGAGGAGGCTGTTGCAGATATCTTTATTTGTTTTGTTATCGTTTTGTTATCGTCGCCCTGTATTTTTATTTTGAAATAGATTAGTATGTTATGAAGAAAATTGATGAGAAAAAGGAATAATAATAAATAAAGTAGTTGAACGAGAAAAATGTTTTCAATTTCAAAGAAAATACAGTACATCCAAGAAATATTTAACATTACTAGACTATAATTATTATACATATACCTACTACATTTTAAATGTAATGTAATACATTATGGTTTATTTTTTAATGTTCGCTGTTATAAACATATACGTCAATTGTTTCTTGGGAATAATAAAGATGATGATGAAAAGAAAGAGCGTTTCGCACGGAACAAAAGTCCGAGATTTTGTGAAGCAGCCTTCGCAATGGATGTGACATGATTATCCCATGAAAGAGTATTGCAGATGGGAATACCGAGCATAGATATAGTGGACTTGTGGGAATGGTGGTACCATCAGACATACTGTGTTCTGCTTTTCTAGAGAAAGTACACCTAGGTTTTTGTTCCCCAGGCTGTAATTTTACCAATATCTCCATTGACAGCGGTGGCCTACCTTCGCCGTGAGTTCTTTGATTCCTGGAAATAAATAGGAATTCTGGAGGATAACACGTATATGAGGATAACGCAGTATGTAGAGTACTATTACTATGTTCTTAACACCAAGGAAAACATTTTTGTTCGACTAATGCATATATTACTGATGTGTTGAATAAATGATTTTATTTGGATAGCACTCTATAT